ACTCTGTTGGCAGCGTATCACACCAAGCGGCCGGAATATATGAAGCCGTGTAGAGCCACGAAGATAGCGAACCACTTCCAGAAGGTTGCCGTCATGAACCAAATCCGAGAAAGACATGGCCTTAAAGATCTCAAGGGCACTTTGATGTCTCGGCACAACAGTCTTCACTTCAACTCCCTGCCGATGGCGCAGGAACTGTGGCATCAGCTCGGCAACACGCCTTCCAAAGGCTCGCGGGTATCGCCTACGGAAGCATGCACATGATTATGCTGCACTCTGAACCCTCACACACACACACCCACCAGTATCTGACAATCTGTTCATGCTGCACTCCGGACACTGACACGCAGACATGCATCTCTGTTGCTTTAAGCTTCTTGGTGCCTGTCCACCTGACCCTGCCCGAGGCATCCTGGTACCGACGAGCGGTCTGCGAGTGCTGGCCGGGAACTCGGCGGCGTCGAAGTTGGCCCCTGTCCAAAGACCAGATAAACCGGCTGTTGGACCAGCTGATCTGCCGCTTCGGGCTCCAATTCTCATCCTGATCAGGATCGGAACACAAGCCCATCCACCAACAACTTCGGTAGACCTCAGTGGCTTGTGTGATACAATTATGCAATGATATGCGTGTATGATACGCAATGATCTTCAAGAATTGAGGACATGACTCGAGTCACACGGGATAACCAAACAAAGCGAGGATGACGGTATAGAAGACTTTGTCGTGGCTGCTCTATAATGTATGTTCCTCATCTTGCAACGATCATCGCCACTAACATACAGGTCCTGCACGATGGAGCTGCAATAAACATGGGTCAGACATTGCGTGACTCAGATTCCGTACACAAGATCGAGTAAATAAGAGCCCGTCCTTGAAATCATCACATTCCCTTCGTGCGCTGCACGACGTGTCAGATCACCAAGCGGGCAAAGATATGACCTTAAGGTGGAGCCTCTGCTGGCGATGGACCAGGAGCTGCAAAGGACTCCCAACCATACTACGAAGCCCTCATTATCAGTCTGCAACAAAGCCAGCACCAGACACCTCAGTGTGATTGGAATTGACATATGTCCATACGAGAGAGACACATGTTCATTTTGCCATGTAGCAACAAGATCCCTGCAAGTTGTATGCAGCACAGGCACGCGAATCCGGATGGGGACAAAATGTCAAACACCGACCCGCGCTCTTGCAAGCCATAGTCCAAAGCATTCTTCAAATCAATATGAGTGCTTCTAAAGCCCTGGTCCCGGACACAGCTCGTGGCCATACCACTTCCAGCGAACATTTCAATCCACTGGAAGTCCTGAAGAGCAGGGTCAGAAGGACAGGGCATGATGAGGAATCTCAAACGATAGCTTGATACATGCATGCCATGGTTCAAGTTGCCCCGTGAAAGGCACATCCATCCAATTCACGAGCAAAATGATCAGCAGGAAGATCTGCAGCACGCATACAAAGTATACCGTGACAATTTTATGTCAGGCAGCATCACATGCACCACAACATGTACGGAGAAAATTGCCTTCGCAAACTGCATGGCCGCAAGGTCTTGCACCATACGATCAAGCGCTGCTTCAGAAAGCAACATGCTAAAGCCAGCGCCCTACACCCTAACACCAACACGGGCTTCGAGCAAGACTTGTTGATGAAGTATAGCTCATGCAATCACGCACACACACACACAAGATCATCGTGCACCGTACGCACTGCGTGAATCTAGCCGGGCTCACGCTGCTGCCTTCGGTACCCGCGCCGCGCAGCCCACATACCTGCAAACTGTGAGGAGCTTCGAAACACAGACTTGCGATGAGCTGGAGGCTTCGGACTGCAACTGCTAGTAGGCATGCTGCAAATGGGAAAGGTAAGCCGACTTTTTGCACGGGCTGATCGGCGCATAATCAGACGGCAGAGCCTGCCCACGTAACATCAAAATGTTCAGATGACACATGGAATCCTGTGCCATCTATCCCGCAGCTGCTGAAAGAGCATGATTTAAATTGGGATGACCGCAAATCATAGCTCATGTACCCGCTCAGATCTCGAAATCACGATCGAGCATGGCCCGCAAAGCCCTCAGCCATTTCTTGTTGCAGGCCTTCAGAGGCTTGTACTCCTCAAGCGCAGCAGTCACAGCACTCATCTCATAGCCCTTGCTGATCTGATCGGCCTCGGTCGTCTATGATCCAAAGCAATTGCCCTCAATCAAGCTACATACGCAGCATATTAAACAATGCGAAATATGAATAGGCGAGGCGCCACCCAAGCCTGCATTCGAAACATCAACGGGGAAAGCTCCAGAGCGCCACTGAGATGAATCACCTGAGGCAGCATCGCAAGAATCGTCGGAGAAAGACTGGAGGCAGGGCTGCTACATGCGAACAACGCAGACTAGAATCGTTCTCATGTCCTTCGGATGTCTTCATGCGCATGCTCATGTCTGCCCGGCTCCAATAGGCAACCATGAAGAAGGATCCAACACCCTTGCCCTGCGCAGCATTAAACTCTGAAATCTTGTCCCGCACCGACTCCGTGACATCTGTGTGGACAAAGCGCACCTGCGAGCAGCTCAAGCGCACATATGGACACACCACGCCGCGCATGATCACAAAAAAGGCACGAAACTCAACGCAGCCCCACCCTCTTCTTGCTGGCGGCTGCGTCATCATCGTGATCAGCATCCTTTGCAACCTTCTCCTCAGGCTTGCGCTTCTTGCTGGAAACCTCGGGCTTGGCAGCTTTGCGATTGGCTCCGCGGTTGCGCCTGGAAGCAGGCTTTGGATGGGCTGGTTCCGGAAGCTCGGGCTCGCTGCTCGAAAAAGATCTTGACCGTGCCATCCTCCTCAAAATGGCTCGCTTCCCTGAAGGCTTAACAAGCTTGCGCCGGACCTTGTGGGCCTTCTGGCTCATGCCTGCTGCGGAATCATCAGCCTTCTCTGATCCTGCGCAGTCATGCTCTGCGGGGTCGTTCTCAGCGGTGGACTCGCGTTCGGTAGGGGGCTCGTTCTCGGCAGCGGATTCCTGTTCGGCCTCGGGCTCCTTTTCAGCAATAGGCTCGTTCTCGGCAGTGTGTGCGGCAAAGGACTCGTGCTCGGGAGCTGGCTCCGGAAGCTTCTCAAACACATGGACTTTCTCGCCCCTCCCCTTGCCCCTGCCTTTGCCCTTGCCTGCTCCACACGAGTAAGAACCTGCAGAAAGTAAAATAAAATACAAAAAACCTCAGACCCTGAAATCAATATGGCACGATTGACGTATCAGAATTACGGATTAAGCCTCAGCATCACCAAAGTCATATGGCTGCGTGTCTTGATCATCCGGGTTGACGCTTGGAACATGGGCACGTGGAACCATCACACCTTACATGGGCGCAGGAAAATTAGATTGCATAGTTGGGGCTACAACACATACGTTGCATGCAATTTGCTTCAAAGGGTCTTGGATCCATTTCCAGCTGCGCAAGTCTTGCTTTCGCATCATCCAATGCATCTTGCAGCTGCAGCACCTCCCTCTCCGAGTCCTCATCCTCAGAGTCAACCACCTCCTCGATGAAGGCCGGCGCCGGCGCGGAAGATGGCAAGGAAGGACGTGCAGCACTCAGAGGGCCTTCAGCATTCCACGATGTGGTCGTGGATTGGACGAACGGGGTCTCAGCAATGTCATCTGGATCATGCATGCAGCTCGCGCCAGGTGCATCTTTGAACTTCGCCTTGGATATCGATGCGCTTGAGCGAACCAGTGCAGTGCAGATGCGGAAAATGAAAGTTGCCAAGAGACCTTGTCACCCAGAATTTCAAATAGCTTGATCATCCGAGGGTCCTGGAGGATGGAAGGAACATTTCAAAATTGAGATTAAGTCACTATGTGCTGCTGCATGGTGCACACATGAGTTTGATACTCAGGGCTCCCGAGGCATGTTCGGTTTGAGAAACACCTTTCGGACGAAGGCCACGCATCTCTTTAGCCCCATGGCTAACACCTTCACATCATCAACATCAGAAGCCTTGTCAAACTGGACGGTCAAGGCATCCTCTTCCTGCATGACCCCGCCCTGTAATATTTTGTACGTCAAGCAGATGATCTGGGTAGCGAACTCATCTACCGAATTCACTTTCAGAGTGCACTCATCTGACATGCGTTGAATCACGCGAAGGATCAAGTCCTCATTCATCAAGGCGTGTTGCCTATCCTGGGTTGCTATAGGGCTCCCGTCTGTGAGAACCAGCTGGCGAACATCATTCTCCACCCTTCTCACAAGCACGGGGTTGCTAGCCCAGTCTTGCCAAATGCCCCGTAGCGAAGCGGCCATTGCAAGCCACAAGACCCTACAAGATCCTGGAAAATTGAACCTATGGCGGCCATTCAACATTTTCATGATCAATCGACACAACTGTATTGCATTTCACGCAAAAGAGCAGCTGATGCAGGGCAGGGCGCACTTCAGCACGTCCGCAAGCTTGCCGCGGCAAGCCACATTCATGACAATCCCATTTACCCGGTATGATTGCGTTAAATGCAAGAATGGGAGTCCAATCTGATCAGACATTTGAAGTCTGTTGTTTCATGCACTATAGATGATCATGTAGCATGGTTCTTTCAAGCTTCCAGTGTACAAACCTCTGAACTTGAGTCCGGCAAAAGCGAATACGCATATGAACGGTTATTTCGGGGTATATGCCCAAATTCGGCCCTTGAACGCGTATACCAGGTCATTCGGGTTTAAAGGTAGTTCTCCATAGTATATCAAGCTTTGTCGGTCGTTCTTCATCTCCTCCTATTTGTCCCCATCTTGCTCTGCTAGCTAAAGCTGGTCATCTTTCTGTTTCTGCCCTCAATGTTGCTGCATCTCCATTGGATACCGTTTACTTGAGATTGTCAGGCTACCAAGTGAACATTTTGGAATGTCTAGGTGTCCTCCAACCGTTTGCTCTCGCGGAGATCTCTCCCATTTCTGCTGTTTATTGCAGACATCGAAGGCCATTGTCCAATCTGAGCTTGAGACCTCGGGCACTATGTCTGCAGATGCATCCACCTGGCATCGAACTTTCCAATTTCTGAAGTGAGCTGAGCCGGAAGCTGGGCGAAGCTGGGGAGGCCATCTCAAGAAGACGGCAGCACATATGCAGTCTCATTGCCATCCTCTCCTTCAACCACTTTCTTCTTCATGGCGGAGGGAGGGGCCTCACCGGCTGCTGTAACTGAGACTATTGTGATTTAAACATCTCATCCGCCGAGGCCGGAAGCCTGGGGCGTTTAGATCCAGAACCATTGGGAGTAAGTAAACCCACCCCCTCACCGCCCTCGGCTGGGTTTCTAGAAGGATGAGTTTTGGGGGGGAGGGGGGGAGGGGGGAGGGCTCCAGGAGCTTCTGAAACACAGTTAGAAACAACAACACATGTTCGACGCTGAATGCAAGAGAATATTCCTTATATAAGATACTATACCCCAAAAGGAGGATATAATCTTACTCTATATTAGGTACCATAATATCCCCAAATAAAATACTACTCGTGTCCCAGGTTTGTCAGAACTCCTTCTCACACGTGGTTCGAATCTAGTATTGTTTCACATTCCAGATCCACCTGCAAACAGAACTTCAAGACGCATTACGCGCATGTTCTTCTGGTTGGGCGGCCCCAAACTTACACAAACAAAACATGTAAAGTTCAGAATACCAAAGTTCATCAGCGCCGAGTTTTCTCACTTGTCCTATCGGTTTTCTTCGAAATGCCCGCCTTCTGGCCGTAATTCACCTGCATGGTGGTGGCACCTGAATGACTCGCAAAACAGGTTGGAAACGATGCCTCTTTGCAACGCGTCCCAGGCCTCCGCCAGAGCCCGACCAGATGTACTGCCTCATAGTTTGGGGATTAAATGGGATTAACTTCTTGTAAGATCGTGTTGCCAAAAGCTTTGATGGCTGCAAAATGCTGCGTGTGCGAGTTTTCCAGCTGGAAAATGATGGAAGGTGCTTGGGTCGAAGCGTGTTTGTGTTCACCTTCCACTTGAATTTGCCCTGTGACCTGGCAGATATGCGAAAGGTCTTCGGCTGCCCTTGATGTGTAGAATACAGTTCCTTCTGTCTCTGATGATCTCTTGCCACTTTTTGTGAAGACAGTAGCACAGGCCAACCCACCTTGGCCCCTGCAAACGAGACGGCACCGCGTGTCTTGCTTGATTGCGACTTTCTGCACAGGCTTGGGGGCCTGCTCACAGCCCGCAATGACGAGAAGTAACCTGGTTATCTCTAGCTCCAATCAAACCAAGGCGTCTCAAGGTAACGATGGTAACGTATACATGTCTGCTTCAACTTGCTAAACAGGCACCAGCAGTCAATAGAAAATGAAACAGGCAAGCAAGAAAGCCCTCTCGGGGGGCTGCAAGCCCGTCCGGTGCGATACGAAGAACTTTGTTGTTAATTGTAGCAAAGGAATGAATGTAACTAAATCCGTCCCCGGTGCTAAAAGCTACAACGTAGCCGTGCGCCTTTGCCTTTTCCTTCTCATTCTCGAGAATGGCTGTGCCGATAGACTGCAGATTGCAATGGCTGGCTTGCTACGACAGCACGATCTGCAGAGTGGCCGAACCACGCCTGGAAAGCGTTCTTGAATTTGTCCGTGTGTTGAAGGCCTCAACATCAAAAAAAAACAAACAGACTCCCGTGAATCAAGACGCAGCGTTTATGGCTTATGGCCAGCCATACTGTAGTTTCCGGCGACAGGCATTGACATCTCCTGAAAAAAACTCGTACATCATGCTACCGATCTGGCCAGCTCCACCCAGTCGCCCAAGGCTTCGCATGACCTGGCATCGCTGGACTTTCTCAAACGCAAAAGTGCCTGATGTACTGCTCCCGGCCTCCGTCATGTACTTTTTCTTGAACTCACAGCCTTTCAACACAATGCCTCGCTCGTTCAATGCCTGCCAAGGGCCGATTGGATGTACCGACATCGGCTTTGATGAATCTTCAGCCTCACCCACTTTCTTTGTAACAAAGACTGCAGGGAGCTCTGGCGGCTCCTCATCATTAGCACCTGCAAAACAATGCAACAAGCAGCAGAGGAGCACAACCTCCGTGTGCAGCGATCTTCTCTTAAGCAGCAGGCTGTGAGCCAGCTTCTCCAAAGATAGAGCCTGCAAGATTTAGATGATCAATGTTGCATCACCAAGAAAGCAAAATGCCACGATCGCAAACACAGGTTGGAGGCAACGGCACGTCTGTAAGCGACAACCAATTCAGGTTCTAAAGTATGTCCTCCTGCGGTGCCAATGCAACAGAACGAGTGCTAGTCATCCAGGCCAACCTTTGGGACATGTGGATCCCCAATTGCGTATAAAATTCTGCGGATTTTTGAGAACAGGCACTTTCTTTCCCAAGGACACCTGCCCTGCAAGCACTCCAAAAGCAGCACCAGCAGGAACAGCAACAGCACGGCCGCTGCCACACCCGCCGGCGGCAGAAGCAGAGGCAGCCACAGTAACAGCAAAGGCAACCGGACTCAGCACGAATCCTAGTGGAGTTTCATTGGTTCGCATTTCAAGCCTCAACAGCAACCACGGCACTTATGAGTTGAAGAAGTCTTAAATCTATAAAAGTAGTCGTCCTTTAGGTTGCGTAGAAGTACTGACCTACCAGGAACGGGTGGAATCATGGTGGAATCCTGATTGATTTCGGCGAAAGCAACAACTTCTTGTACCAGGATGTCTCAAAGTTCGAAGTGGATCAAAGTGCAGCCATAGAGCTTCATCCCGCACCTGGAGACTTGAAAAAGGCCCGTCAGAACTTATGAGGTGTAAACTCATCTATATGCATCTGCAAGGAATTTGATGGTTCCTTGCCCCTTTGTTAGCGTATGCGATGCTCGAAGAACAGGCAGGATCACAGCTGTGTTTTGTAATCGCAAACCAAGACACTGCATGCAACATGATGCAGTGACCACTTTAGGTTTACACAGAATTAGGGCCTTCATCTTGCATACTTCAGTCAGGAGTCCACATATGCCGGATCAGCAGTCCTCACTTCTATACACGCATGTCAGTATTGCTAATCGGAAGTTACAACTTCACCCATTAGCAGTGGAAAAAGCATGGTTCTGTTTACACCTCATTCACATGATTCAGCTAATGTTCAACTTGGCTTGTGTGAAAAGCCAATGGCCACTCATCCTATCCTAGGTTAAACCTCACCTTTTTTTTTTTCCTGCTGGTTATCGTTTTCCAGCGCTGACCTACCAGAACTGGCTAATAGTACTGGAATTACAAACCTTATCATACTGGAATTACAAACCTTATCGTTTTTGTGTTTATTGGCTCTTGTTTTGCAAGGGAAGCAACAAATAGGACCGCTCCCGTATAAGTTCTGTCGGCGTGGTTATTACCATAACCCAACTGGGATTCCACTGATTCCTGGGAAAAAAAAACAAACAAGTTGCTCCTAGATGAGTGAAGCGGTATTGGAAAACTGAGTAGCCCCCACAGCGTCTTTAAATGCCTTTTATTGATTGTTTTTGGGTGAAGCTGAAGTCAAGCAAAGCCAGTTTGCCCCCTCAATTTTCCGTGCTACATTTGGATGTCAAATCAAGATTCTCAGAACATGCAAGTGGAGTGCAGTGCTAGCTGTTTTTTGCTCCTCCTAGCCCTTAGCCTTTGCCTGTCACCAGTTAGCCGTGGATTATGATGCAGAACAATGGGCGCATCGCAATTGCTGTTCGGCCTGCTCGCAGCGAATAATGAGGCCAGTGGCGCCTTGCTTCTTGGCCTGGGCTGCGGCCTCGGCTGTTGTTTTTCGAGGCATCTCGCATGAAGTTTCATGGAGGCAAGTGCCGTCAGATGCCATCAGACTTCTGGCGCTACGGGCTTGCGGAATGAACGCTTATGGAATGCACGCCCAAACTCGGAGGATGACTTTGCGCAAGTCCACGCCTTCATCCACCACAGCAACCCACCTGGGATTCAAGAGGAAACCATGCCCCAGCCGAGATGGTGAAACCTCCATCACTCAGAAAGATCAGTGCCCTGCTCCTGGTTGCCTTCACCCGCAGCCTGTTGCTTGCAAAGCAACATGTTGGAAAGCCAAAAGCCAATTTGGCGCCTTTGGCACGGTGTAGGTGCCCTGAGCACTCGCCACCACAACGGCGCCCTTGAACTTCGACAACTCCTCAAGCTATGACTAGCTTTGAGCAGGTTGTTGCTTCAAGAGGTGAACCCCGCGGCGCCATTCACTCCACATGTTACAGAAAATGCATGGACATCTTCAGGGCCGCTGTGGTGCCACCTCATCGTGAGTCCAACTTGATGACAGGGCATCATAGTGCTTCACGTCCGACCTTAGGCATCCACGGACCATGCGAGGGACCATCCTCTGAGCCAAGACGAGACACGTACTGTCGAGGAAATTGTCTCAAGTTTGCCGGGTTTCGCACTTGTTCCACAACGGCGCAACCAGCAAATCCACATCGCCCTTGAAGACATGGCGTGCTGCTAAGTGATTCAAGAAAAGCCCAACAATGTGTATGTTGGGACATTACAGTAATCATCGGCATTCTTTGGCATCCACGGCAATCTTGCCAAAATCACAGCTCCCTTCAGCCAGCAAAGAAGGCCTGCGACATGGCGGCGCCCAGAGGAGACAGCATCGTATTCACCGAGCCAGCCTGAGCACAAGTTCACATAAGCCTCGCCCATTTGGTACATTAGCACTAGATCTCCTAGAAGCCCAAATCAGCGATGTGGTTCTGACTGTGTATTGTAGTACTATCAACCCAAAATGGGCATGGCCTATCTTTAGATCGTGGTGTAAATGAGAGCTATGCCGGCTATGCCCCCTGGCATGTACGCACTCATTTTGACTATAAGCGCTTCATTGTCTCTGGAAAAGCTCAATTGACGATGAAAGCCCCTGCAAAAGTGAACAAGCACGCGCTATGACAAACAACAAAACCCTTGTATTCTTCGCACCCGAGAGGCACAAGATCTCGGCGTATTCTCAACAGGACAGAAGAAAGGTCCCTACGTTCAAAATAAACTTTTAGCATAGTCAATGCAACCTTCAGTGCAAAACGAAAGAGCTCCTGTTATGCTGACCTTGGCCATCTCCGCACTTTGCAAAACCAAATGCGGGGACTTTCTTCACAACATGACATGCGAGCGACCCTACTGCTCTCAAGGGAGAATCCCAGATCCTGCTCACAAGCTTAAAACCCTATTGGCAAGGAGACAAATCAGAAAAAAAATCTGCTCGTTTTGGAGAAAAGGAGTTGTTAGGCTTGACACAGCAAGAAAGTCCCCAGCATTGTTCATACAAGATGTGAGGATCCTTCTCGTGTTTACCACGACATGACAGAATCATGCAGAAACAATAGCTTGCTGATGCTTAACGAAAGGAAAGAAAGGCCCTATCAGACTGCATTTCACACAGGAAAGCCCAATTCTTAGCAAGATGAACAAGCCTGGTGCTTCTCATGCACAAAAAATTAGAAGCCAAGCTTAACAATCCTCTTGAGAATAGAAGAGCACATGCAAGTTAGTCCCCTTTTATAATTCACGGGAAAGAAAGTCAACCAGTTCAACTGACAGCATCAAATACTGGAAACAGATCCCGAAGTACGTAGGTCATCTAAGAAACTGAAGCATGACTAATGCTGCTTTGACAGGACCATAGAGAAGCCTTTTGGGATAAAACGAGGCGACAATAGACAGCCTCATACGATACACTTTGAGGGCCGTATACATCATGTAGAATAACATGCATTCAGTGTTTAGGCAGTATGCAACCCACAGAGAAACATCATGTTGAAGCAGCATGCCGTTGATAAAAACTTGATTGTGCGAGATATTTGTGGGAAAGATGTTGAAGAATTCAGACGAATTGAGAAAGGAACCTTGCGGAACTGTTGCATTCGGAGGGCAGGCGGAGAGTATACGCAAAGCAAAGCAGCTGAGAAGATGGTTTGAGAGATGTCAACATGTGAGCGGGCTGTGGATGAATGGCGACAGGTCAAAAATACATCCGTACATTTTGGGTATGCGCGGAGATCCGGCGATGATTGAAATTGAAATTGGCTGTATATTGCCTATGCGCATCTACGAGCGGAAGGCACAAGTTATCGTATAAACGGTGAGCAAAATGCTGTCCGGAACTTGCAAAACACAACATGTTTTGTTTTCCAATGTAGGGGAAGGCAAAACAGAAGAAACAACTAGGGACAGAATTGCTCGGCAAGAATGGCACTTCAACGAAAACAGCCCTTAAAAACGAAAGAAGGTGAACCAAAGCTAGAGATTAAGAAGTACACGCAGAAAAAGGGGCAATTTGAGAGACGTGGAGACCTAGACTTTGAAAGCGAGGCACCCAAACCAGACCAAATCAGAATCATCAAGGCAAGGCAGGCTACATGTTTCCATCTTAAAGATGTGACATTTATGTGTGTAAAGGAGGATTCACAATAATGGCCCCCTCGCTGTGCAATGCACGAAATCTTGAATTGATCCCAACCTTTCGGAAAAACTAATCTATGCGAGTCCATGTTCGAAAGCAAAATGGCAACGATGGGCCTAGCCCATTTTAGGCGGTAGTAGCTTGAAGGAAGTATCTCGCTGATCCGAACAATGAAAGCAAGGCCTAAGCAAGCTTTGCTGTGTGCATCCCCACTCTCGCCTCGATGACGAAACCAATCTCACTCTGAGTAGCCTGAGAAAGACAGCAAGGATCCTACACGTGACAGGGTAATGGGGGGCAGGTCAACCAGAGACTGCACTGTTGGCAATGGAAAACGTGCTTCAGCTAATATTGCCTTTTTTCCCGATAGTACCCTCTACAATGTCAAGTCTTCCAGGCCTCAAACAACTTGCCTAGTTATGTAGTACCCGAGTTCATGCCACATGTTTCGACCGAAGAGTCTTGAGGTCAAGCCGTTAAGCCTGACCATTTGAAGTGATCAATCGTAGTGCATGTTCATAAACAATCAGCCAAGCAGTTGTTGTGGATACTAGCCCAGCCAAACTTTGGTACTTGATGTGCTTGCCTTGATGCCTGCATTTCCGGGAGGCTGCTGCTTCTTGATGCAAGGCTCTTGGCCTTGATCGAGGGGGGAGAGCTTCCTTCTAGAAAAGACCCCGAGAAAGAGTTGATACATGTCAAGACCAAGAGTACGACGGGGAGAAATAACAGACCCAACCACCATTATGTCATAGTCGCATGAGCAACTCAACAGCTTGCACTGGGCTTGCACTGGCTGAGTGCACGTGAACTATTTCCCATCCCTAGCCGTGTTCCAGAAGTCATGTAATGCATCAGTGCCCTTGACTAACCCGCGACTCAACTCAACACACTACATGGCGGCTTTGGGAGGTACCGAGTGATCAGAGCTTCACTGGTTCTGTGCTTCACGGTCAAAGGAGCATCTGGCGTGGACGGATGTGAAAGCGCGTTCCCCACTCACCCAGGTGGCGTGACTGGCACAACGCGGACCAGAACCAACTCCTCCAGTTCCGTCTGGCTCGCCCCGCATGCAGAGTCCAGCTGCCTGGCAGCCACGACTCCTTGAGTTGTGAAGTCCAGGCCGACATCCTCCATAGTACAGAGTTCCTTCAAGGTAATCGACACAGTCAGCTCGCCTCGAATCCTCTCTGGATGGCTGCAGATGGAAGAGTGGTCGTTGCTAGATTCTGCTACATGCTCCTAACTCCCAAAATTGGTAATGCACAGTGCTGCTCTGCAGTGTTGCTGCGACACGTCTGGCAGATCTCTCAGTCACCAACTTTGCCATTGGCCGTGACTGAACCATCATCATTAACCTGCATGCAGCAGCATGCAGCAAGATCTTTGTCTCATGCAGTCGGTACACGCCATGCAGCATGCTCATCCGCCTTCAAGTAACCGAAGTTCTTGTGGGTCTCATCGTCAGACCTTCACTGGCAAGGAAACATTCCTGGCTGTTTCCCCCGCTTGCTGGAAAGCTGTTGCAGTGACAAGGTTCACGTTCAAGGCCGAACGATCTGCGCCTGCTGTAGGGCTTGAAGCAGATGTTGGCTCCCCTGCCTTGGGTCAACAAGGCAAAACGCCGTGCTGATCTGACAACAAGTCTTGCAAAGCCTAGTGCCCTAGTGCCCGTGCCCTGACATGATATTGTGAGACCTTCACCCTCAAGCTGGCGAAGCTCGGAACAGTATGGAGCAGCTCACACGGCTACTCTACGCAACGAGATGCCGCACGAAACCAGTCCAGGCACCACTCCATTCCAATCGACAAAGCACAAGAGCGTGTCTAACTCAGTTGCAAGCGGATGGTGGTATCGTTCAGGTGAACCTGCTATGTCATGTCCATGCCAAAGGGCGGAGGATGGCGGGGTGTGCCTAACTGATGCCCACTTGACCCTGATGACAAGTGGTATCAACTGGTACAGTAACTTGGCTGGGAGCACCAGGCCCATGCCCACGCGCTCCACAATGAATCTGAGCTGGATAACAGAGAAAAAAACAACACTATCGAAACACAGAGGCAGCAAGCTTCTCCGCGAAACAGCGGATAATGTTGCAAGTAGGAATGTTAGGTCAGCTGATGCTGTTGAGGACAGAAGTGCACTTAGTGCAGTCTAGCGACTCCTGGATGCCAGGTGCAGCGCTGCCTACCAGTTATCAGCAGCTCAAACCAAACCAAACAACTGTCATGCTCTTGTACTCTCGCGTACGAGTCGCGCATGCAATCTTCATAATTTTTTGTTAGGCATCCATTTCTGCATCCGACCTGCGGCGCTGCTGGAAGCTCCGCTCTCTGGAATCGCACTGGCAGCGACGCACCAACCACATTACAACATTGCTGCCACATTGTGCAGTTGTGCAACACCACCGACTTTGGATCGTCATCTCAAGCTTCGTGAATTGACTCAGTAAAGTGATATGGGAAGGAACGGCTTCATGATTCCAGAATATAGAAAAAGCGCGAAGAGAACATGAAAATAAACTTTGTTGACTGAACCGAATATGAGCAGCAGACAATACTACTTGAGAGCACGGGTATGTGTAAAGGGAACATTAGACTCAATAGAACATGCGACCTGCGACTCATGAGATCCCCTGATGGAACCGTGCCTGCTCATCTCGGCAGAGGGGTCGCCCGTGTGGCAAACACCTGATTCGGGGTCGACCTGGAGGGGTTAAGTGTGCTTGCAGCACTTTGCCCACTGCAGGACTATGCCGCGTAGACAATTCGTCAATTGATTACTGTCTTTTCATGCGCAAAGACTATGATCTGGCCTGCAGCGGCTGCGAGTGCAATGCCTTCACCATCACAATGTCCCCTATCCGCAGAGACCTTGCAGGAATTGTATCTGCCACTTGCTCGGATCACACAGGTCCCGAAGCGACCGTATCACTGAGGTCAGCACTGCGAATCCAGCGTCCCCTCCTGATGGAATGGGGATCTTCAGAGAAGTTTCACGCTAAGTCCCACTTTTCGCTTCTGGTCCCTTCGCAGCTCCTTGGGAGAAGGGGAATTCTGACCTTCATATGTTCGCTCTCACAGTCACACCCTGCAAATTGGCGCATGAGATGAATCTAAGCATTCTACTGGTGATGGTGGTGCCGGTCTTTTCAACCTGATGGCAAAGCAACTCAACATCCAAACTCACTTTGGGTTGCCCACCCCGTCGTTGCATTGTGTCAACTTGTGATACGGACACCAGCCGAGTCCCAAACTAGCCAGTACGCCCACGTCCCTTTGCCAGAGTCAACCTGCAGTGGATTGAAGCACACCTAGACAAATATCTGCAGAGAGCAGGCACATATCTCGCAGTGCTAATCAAAGCTGTCAGTGCCTTTTTCTTTTTGCCACACACAGATTCGCGGTTTCGTCTGTGAATGTGTGTTTTGCAACCACACACCATAACCGTAGCTTAGCTCTTTACTGCGAGCTTCATGCCTGAGTCTGGATGTCTGAGACAATGCAAAGAGAAAAGCCACGAGGTCATCTCCTGCTGGTCCAGGACCAGCTACGCAAAACATGTCTTGATCATGCAAGGTCATGGATCTCGACGGAGAATCCGGGTGCATTTGCTCACCTCATGCCAGCAAGGAGTTGCTCCACTGGCATAGCAGTTTTTTTCGAAAAAAAACTGAACTGCAGGACCGCCAAGGCCATTTTCGTATCTGTGTTGTGCTCTTGTGGCACGCGGATGCCAAGACGGGAAACTTTGTCAGAGTGGCAGAACGGCTTCAGAACTGCGCATTTGAATTGAATCTTCACCTACGTCTCCAGATGTGTCCAGGTACTTGTGCGATGCTTGATCGGTCTGTTGTCATACGCGGATGTCGTCACAAGTGCCAGCGATACTTCAGGCTGAGGCAACAGCAGCTGTAGGCGTCAAGCATACAAGAAGTGAATGCAGAAGCAGAATGGAATGGCGGAACTGGTAACAACAAAGTTTGATGCTTGCACATGACTTAGCTTGCTGCTGGAAGTTCGCTTCTTCAAATTTGCAGTTTGCTCGCGGGCTGTACAGGAGGCCAGCTAGCTGCACTTTACACAGGCCACAACTTACATTTACTGCCCAAAGCTGACACAAGCAAAATGCATCTCCGATGCATCTCACCTGCTTGGCCCTTCCATGTCAATTCCATGCCTAAGTGGACGACACGTGGACCATGCTGGGCCAGTCCTGCTGCTTTGTCAGGCTGCCGGATCGCGCACAGGGTGTCCAACCACAACAACCTGGGCAAATGCTTGCACCACCAGTCACGTGTAACCTTCTATGCATCCGGAAAACTCGTTGTATCCTACTTCTCGCTGTGACAGGAACGTTAAATGCTCATGCATTTTCTCATGCCGTCAGGGCTCGCTCATGCTTCCGATGCTGATGGTGGGTGGCACCTGGGCAAAAAAAGATATCGGTTCTCTGAGAAACTGCGTTTGCAAAGGTTGCCGGCGGCCTGCTTGGCAAATATGAGTTGTTAAACAAAAGGGTGCTGAACAGTGCTGAACATTGTCCAGGTGTGAATGAGATGTGGTAAAGTGAAGTTATACTTGATTCGAAGGTTCTTTTCAACACCAACAAGCGCAGTGCTCACCTTGTTGCCTAACATCTGTGGAAGCCCATCTCTGCCAACGATGTGGTCGCCCCAGGCCGAGCTTGGCAGGTTCAACAAATCAGTCAAGGTCTCAAGGCGAATTTGCAAAAAATGCGTGATTTAGATTATGGTTCGACAAAGACATTTGTGCGTTGTCCAAACAGCAACAGTGTAGACTCCCCAGGAACATAACATAACCGCAATATCTTCATCTGAGTGTTGTTCTAGCCTGCGCAACACATCAATTGTGATGCAAATGCTATGCAAGGCCAGGACATACTTTGTGCTCGAAAGGCAGCAGCAAAAACAGCCGGGCACGAGCCTTTCATACCTTTTCCCTAAAAAGGCCCTCTTGTGGTCTGAGCAAGTGTAGAATCTGGAATGGTGGCAAATGCCAAACTTGACAAAAGACAAAATCACAGTTCGCTTGACCTGAGCCGTGCCAGGGTACGGCAGCGCTTCCGAGGCTGACAGTTGGGGGCAACTGATCCTGAGCTTTGCAAAACTTCTCCTTCCGTGTCTTAAATGTTTGGAAGTCTTCAGATGTTATGAGCTCTGCCAAAAGGCTGGAGGAACGGGAGGAACCGGATGTTGGGCTGCAGGCGCTGGAGCAGGGGCAGGTGAGTCTGCAAGGACCCGCTGCTGCAAACCTCTCGAGGAAAGCAACTCGTCTCAAATTGAAGCTGCCTCGTCTCACATGCGATTGCCTCGTGGTCCTCTCCCTTTGCGGACGTGCAGCACAAGGATGCTCAAAGCACCGAGAAGAATGCCAAATCTGGCGCGAGGGTCACAGGTGGTCATGGGCACACCAAAATTGCGGGCACGCTGAAGGAGCTGACCAAGCATGTGTGCTGACATCCAGTGACATGTATGCAAGCCATCGCAAACGCCAACGGCTCTAATGGAAAACTGTACAAACAGTTGTCGGTGACCGCATCTCACAATTTAGTCAAGCTGCAGAAGAACTCCACCAAAAGCAGCACCTGACTTTTGAGCAGTGATTTTCGGGACGGAGTACCAGACTTGGCTAAAGCGCATGACAACTCAAATTGGCCACGGCACCAAAAATCAGGATCATCGGCCCTCCAGGCCCTGACAGGACACGTTCTATAGTAAGTTTGCCTGAGGCTGCGGAGGCACAAATTTGAACCAACTTTCAGCAAGCTAATGCGAGGTTCTTGCACCTGCTTTCTGTTGGGATCGGTCCTGGAAATCTGCAAAACATATGAAAACACACCAGCAAAAAATCAGGCATTGGCACAGTAACTCCTCGCCAGACGCAGGGGGAACAAGCTGTGCCGGCGCAGCAATTGGCTCAAGTCCTCCCTTGGAAGGTCCAGCCGGCTGATTCAGGCTGGCGGCGCCTTCCTGACGAAATGCAATCTGGTGTCACGGGAAGCAAGCAGTCAAACTGTTAAGCCTTTGAGTCGAGAAACTGTGCAGATCCCTTGCAGATCGTCTTTGTAGCGAAGACAATCGTATGAAGCATTCAGGGCTAACGCAGCGTCTGGATACGTTTGGCGTTACTGAGTTACTGCCAAGCGTGGCCGCTAAATCTTGAGAGGCAAGCAGGTGTTAACAAAAGTCAGCACTCGGAAAAATTGTGAAAATACGCACAGCAAGAGTGGTATCAGTGGTCATTGGATGTATACAGCTGGGGTAGCAAACATGAAGGTGAATAGGGACTAGGCGAGTGGGGTGAGACCCATTTAGCTTTTGCGGCTCCGCCCTCCCGCGCTAGTTGCGCGACCTTCCGGGCCTCATCAATCTTTGCTGCTAAAGCAAGACAGGCCCCCCACAGCCTGGTGGCGCTCGTAATAGTCGAAGAGCCGGTGGGTCCGAAAGGCAGATCCAGCAGAAGTACGATTGGCCCATTTTAACCAACACTCACCGACCACCTCAGAAATCACTCACTTGTTTTTGCCGCTTCTGTTTTCAACATATCACCGAAAGAGTGGAAAGAGAGTTATCAATGCTAGCCAGGTGCAGAACCATCAGCTCCATAATCAAAGCTTGCACAACCGTCTGTCTCCAAGCAAAGCTGCGCACATTCTGCGGGTGAATGCACCTTTCCATCCAAGTGGCTTGCACGCATGTACTTCACAAATGGATACAAATGGCAATAGATGTGAAGACTTCCTCGGGCAAGCTTGGACACAGAGCCTGGCGGTGTTGCACGTTGCGGCCCTCGATGGACATGGCTACGAACGGGCCACTGAAACTGCTTAAGCTGGAGCGATCAGATGCTCCAAGCTCCTTAGTCAAGGTCAACTTTGCTTTTTTCTGTAAGCTCATACCTCCGAAGGAGTTTGCTTCGGCCTTTTGTGACAGGCGTCTGGAACAGACCACGCTCTTACCTTCTGCATTCTCCCTCATTCAGTTAATCGCGTTCTCCCACCCTGGTCCAAGTTGGAGCAGCAGTCCACTGATGCTGGAGCGCACGCTTTCAGTACAAGCCCCAAGCGTGTGAAACGGAAGCAGGAATGTTCTGTTACGCTCGCTCGCCTGCAGTCAGAATAGGCCATTTCCTCCTTCTTCGCGCATAGACAAACGCTGCAAGCCTTCGCTGAAACGGTTGACAAAAACTATGAATCTGATCGGCCGGCTTCATGGCGTGCCACTTTCAGTGGGAGGGCTTGGACTTGCCCAAATTTCAAGTTCCGCTTCGCTGCAGTTCTGGGTTGGAAGCCCGCAGTTCGCCCTAGACCTGGGCAAGTTAAACATATGCGCCTCTGGTCCACACCGGGATGCACGTGCTACATGGTCGTACAAAAAGTACTCGCGATGGACGGCGCAGCACCCGATGGACGCCAAATCCTGTTTCATGGAGGATTGGCTCAGTTGCATGAAGTCGAGCACTACTGACGTGTATTGGCCTTGCACACAGCAGCTACGCCTTTGACATGTGGAGGCCAGACCCGAGCATAAGGAGGCATGATTATGCAGTTATGCAGCTATGCATGGTTCCTCATAGCCGACAAGCTCCCAACGCATTGACGCACTGTCCTGCCATGTCCTGCCTGCTGCCAGCCCGGCAACCGAGGCGGACAAGCGCTGGCTTTGAAGAAGTTGCATCGCAAAGCCTTTAAATAAGTTCAAACATCTTTAGACTCTTGAAGTGAGGAGCAAGATTGATATCGACCGACGTCCGGTCGACCAGGCCTGGCTTGCAAATGCAACAAAACATATCGCTCCTGCTTGGGCACGGCCTTGGCACAGGCCAC